GAACCAAACCATTCAGTTCTTGATTCGGATACCCGTTCGGGAATTTCATTTAAAAAAAAACCCGCTCGATTCGGTTCGATTCGGACATTTTGCCCAGCGCTAACGAGAATCAATAGAATAATGTGTGTAGTTTATTTTTTAACTTCAAAATTTATTTTTACAGAATGTCTAACATTAATTTAAATGGAACCGTTCCTCCTACTCATTAATTTGACACACTTATTTGACAAAAAATCGTAAAGCTCAATATTTTATGGATATCAAGTGATTATAACAAACCTTCATATGATCTTAGTGAAATACATATTGAGCGTTTGATTGACTTAAATTAAAGGTCACGATTATTTCTCAAATAAGTGTCAAATTTATGAGTAGGAGGAACGGTCCCGTAATTTAAATTCTAATTACTTATTTTGGCGGTATAAAGGTTAAAATCCTTAGTTGAAGCTCAAAATAAGTTACTTTTTAATTAAAATCTGCAACAAGACACATTAATGACCAGATATCGGTAGAATATTGGGCTTTTAAACCAATGGTCGCAGATTCTGGTCGTGCCATACCGAAAATAGTCTTACGTTAATGACAGAACGGGCACGCTTGCTGCATTTATATATTACAACCAAAACAAACTCTACTAGAAGCCTAAAACTACTAATCTAGCCACAGCAGAAACGCAGAGCACGAAAGTTTTGAAAAGAAAAACACCTTATTTAGTCCAAAACTTCACAAAAGCCAACAGGAATGCTATAAGTAGAGCCCAAAGAGAATTAGTTTCAGGTGCAGAGGTTTTCTTTGACGTTCCTTCTGATGTTTCCCTGCAAAAAAAAACATGCAGAACGGAAACTTGTTAGAGATGTCCAAAATTCGTGAAAGGTAAAACATTTTGATACTGACTCTGAAACATGAAGAGGTGCTTCATTATAGGTACTTACTGGCTAATTGTGTTATTTTCTTTCGGATAGTTGTCGTAGGAGATGTTAAGCTTTTCCATGACTGCAGTGGACTCTGTAGAAATCAACTGTTCAGGAGAGTCACTGGCCTGCAAAAGCACGAGACTGGATGTAGATACAAATACAAACCCAGAGCATCAATTCCAGTACTACAATGCTAGTTCTTTTTATTAAGCCAGTATTCACGTTCAACAAGTCTATCAGTCCTATATATGATTTTCAACCACATTTATACACATGATTCAAGAAATCTGTTTTGACCATCAAATACTCCAGAAAAATTGAATCAAAAGACTTAAATGTGCAACTCAGAGATATGTTCTAAAATATACTGGGTATGTTTCTAAAGAACAGAGACAAGGAAAAAGGCAGATGACATAAAGAACATATAAAGACACGCAAGACATGGATATGATACAACACGAACATGCTGACATGTAATTTTCCCAGAATGTAAGAAACAGAGACATCTATTAAAGTTAGACAATAATATTTTTTTATCATGCTTTTCATTTTTTTCAATAAAATTAATACCCTTTTTAGCTTTGATTTTGAATTTTGGAGATGAAATCTTTTGAACATGAGTGACTATTTGTTGTACCTTTTATCACTAGTGAGACGATATAAATATTATTGCATTAAAAATTGCAGAGTAGATAAAAAAATCCCATTATGTTGATTCTTTTACACAAAAGTTTAATAATTAAAACTTTATATTCCAAAATTTATCAATCAGGCTTGTCAGGTCCTAGATGTGCTATGAATGTACTCAGCGTGTCACAAATAAAAAACACAGATGTATGGCATGCTACATGGCGTTTCAAGAATGTAAAAACAACATTTATAGAATAGGACACACCATGTGGCATGTTGGACACATGTTCCTGAGTGTTCGAGGAGTATCAGTGTCCCATACTGTTGAACACGAACATGGACATGCCACTCTAGGGGAAGAGTCTGTGTTTCTTAGAGAAGATGACATACCAATTTCTTACTCCCGATTAGAGAAGACAAGAATTGCCTTCTACTACTTACCGTGGTTCCATCAGGCAAGGAGTGCTTGACTTCAACATCTCTAATGTGGCGAATATCAAGTGCATTAGCTTCGTCTGTTCCACAGCAATTTGAACTTTCCAAAGACGGGCCTTTGTGTTTCAATGGTTTTTCATCCCTGAACTCACTGTTCCCTTTCATTGTTGAACCGGGAAACTTTTCATCCACCTTTTCATTTATCAAACCAGAAAAGCTTTCAAAAGATATTCTGTCATGTTGAGTTGCTCCATATCCCAAAGCTCCAGTGACATCACTTGATTTACTAGATCCTCCATCTGCATCATGAGTTGTAGAAAGAGGCCTCATTGGGAATTTCTCCATAACCATATCAGCATTAACAGGAGATATTGCAGCTTCTGACTTTTTCAGTTCTTCGGCTCCAACTTTCTCTCTACCTGTACTCTCCCTCACTATTGACTCCATACCTACTAGCTCTTCATATTCTTTGGTTTTTCTTTCAAGTATTCGATCCACATATAAAATTTGCTCATCACTAAGTCTCTTAGTCCCTGGTTCAGAAACTTCCCCACTAAATCGCGAAAAAATTTGCCGATCACATTCTTGATGATTTCCAGGCCCAACACTAGTGTTAGCAATTTGTTCATTCTCAAACTCCTGACTCTTAGGTTGAGAAAACTGCTTACTATCTTTTGAGACATCTTCCACGCTGGTATCTTGAGGAATGAGTGCACCATGTTTTGTACTCTGTTCATCTGATCCTTTGTTTTCCTGAACTGCCTGACTATGCCCATTCACATCATTATCCAATGCAAAGGACTCGGGTCCACGGAATGTCCCATTAGAAATAGAAATGTGCTTTTCAGTTATAACCCGATGATCATCAGGTGTGATATCAATTACAGCATGAGCTTTATCTGATGAGAAATCAATCTGGGGTTGAATAGAAATCGATCCCAGCGGGTAATGTTTCAGAAACTCAGAGTTGTTATGCTCCTTCAGAAATGACTTAGCTGGACCAAGCACTTTGTTCTCTTGAATAATCTCTCGAACAATTTCTCGCACCGTATAAAAAGATCCACCAACTTCTTTGTGAGTGAGATTAAGTGACGGAAAATTCCCATTATTCGATTTCTGATATCTGCAGGCATTCAAGGAATAAACTAATTTTAGTGGCAATGTACACTAAAATCAAAACAAGCGAAGAAAACAAGAGGATATAGAATGATCAAATACAAACTACATAAAGAGTGGCAACATAGCAATCAGTTTTGGAGGTGCAAACAAAAGTCCCACATCCGCTAGACATGTGGATGGACTCGGGTTTATAAGGGAGTTGGGCTGCTCCACTCTATAAGTTACTTTTGGGATGGAACCCCATGTCCCACAAGTGGTAAAGATCCATGCCATAGGGAAGATATAAATTATGTACCCTAAATCAACACTCCAACCGTCCAACTATCACGCCCTCATGCTAATTGTTATTCTTGTAAGCAATAAAACATTAATCTTCTCAAATTCTCATCTTAAAAAGTTAGCAGTTCAATCAGATTTGCTACCTTCACATTGTGTCAAGATCTGCTTGCTGGCTTAGGATAACTACAATACAAGTAAACTGTGCACCTATATTTGACTAACCGTCTAATGGTTCATTCACCGTTTTACTCTGGTATTTTAAAACTGCTCAACTCATGCAATCACATAATTGTTATACACAAGAAGGATTATATAATAACAGGAGCTTGCTATTCGTTAAAAATGGGTGTTTGTGATGGTTTGCAGGTTGAAGCATCCTGAGAGTCAACAGAAAATAGAGGAATAACAAATTAATTGAGGAGCATGTAAGACTAGAGAAAAGTAATTGACCTTCAAAATGTTAGTTGTTTTGAAAGCAGACATTACTTCTAACTTAGATCTTTCCAACTTTGACCAATAAATTGTTTACTTTAAAACTCACTTATTTACTTATAAGTAAACGATTTAAGCTTAAACAAGCATGCTCTTGATGATGAGGTCACACATACACAATCATCAGGGGTAGAGAAATTACTTATTTATGAAAGATTCAACCATTTCCTTCCTTTCTTCTTTTGAACGCCTGATCCTCGACTTCCTCCCTCTCGAGTCATCGTTCGCAGCAAGGGCAAATGTTTGCACAGCCCAGCCACCCTTAGTCACGTGCATGGTCTAACCACACCAAGATTGCAGACCTGCAAATATGAACTCAAAACTGTGACATGTTCCTTTTACTTATAAATTTCTCGAGTGGGTGTCTGCCTATGCGTGTTGTGTTGTGTGTGGACAAGAATAATCGGGTGCAACACACACACAAATGTTGTATACGATCGAGAGTGTTACTGCAAAATCTTAGCATTCTTCACTAGATTTGAATAGTTGATTTCAGAAAATAAATAAATTTAGAAAAATCGCAGCACAAGCAAAAGAATCAACTGTATCGGATGACAGACACGTAGCAAATAAAGTGCAGTAGCATTTTAATTAAAGATTAGAAGAAACAAGAAATAGTGAGGCAGCTAAAGTACCAATATGGAATATCAAACGAACCAAAAAAAAGAAAAAAATTAAATAATATACATTCACTGGCGGGACGAAGAATTTCATGTACAACCCAACTTCCAAACCCAGAAGAAATGAAGAAATAAATAAACAATCAGATCAGATCAGGGGCACTAAATGCATCAACTAAAAGCAATAATATTTTGCTTATACAAAAAAATGCAAGGAAATCATGAAGTAGCTAAAACACATAAATTTATTAAGGCAAAAATAAATTAAGAATCACTTGGAAGAAAAACTTACCCACAATTGAATTACAGCTGAAATCGATTTTCAAAAAAAGCAGCTTAAAAGGAAACTCAACTTTACCTGCATTACATACATATAGAGGGAAAGAAAAACCCTACTGTCCAATAAGTGAGCAAACGAATCCATTAAATGTTGTAATCTGATTGGTGCTAAAAGTAAAGTGGGATTACAATTTACTTATTGAATTGAATTACGGTACAGATCAACAAAACCTAGCTCTGATTTACGCGAAAATTATGCTATCTTTTGTTGATCTATATAATGTTCATGGATGAAGATTTATGTCTGATTTTTTGTCGCCAATATTGGATTTAATTGATGATCCGAGTACATTTTTATACGACTTTGAATCTTTTTGGATTTGGATTAATTCTGTCTAGTTGTCGAGATTCAGATATTATTTGTTTTCTACCATTAAATTCTAAATTCAAATATATATATCCATTTGGATACTAACATCGAATTTGATGCACGTTATTGAGTGAATAATATATTTTAAATAAAAATTTGATGGGAAATATGTAATAAAAAAAATTTTGGACTTACGTATAATATTATTTTATTGAAAAATGTGTAGTTGAAAATGAGTTTTTAAAAAATAATTTTTTATAAGAATGTGAATCAAACGGGGTGTAAGCCTTTTTTAAAAAAAAAATTGATTTTATGAAAAAGTTATTTTCTTTTATGTAAATGTCTATAAAAAAGTGTCAAAAAAAAAAAAATTTCTGATTTATGTGGAAAATTATTTTTTGAAATCGTGAATGGGACAAAATGGAATTCGACCGGGAACTAAATCAGTCTGAAGGGTTGTCATTTAAGTACATGTTTGGTGTAAATTAAAGTCAATATTTTAGTAATTTTTGATAAAATTGATGATATGTACTATTGCAAAATTGTGGATTTTATATACAATTATAATTAATTGTTGATTTTAACTTAAAAAATTTAATAGATTTTAATCAACATCAAACAAGAACTAAAATTATGTTCCATTAACAATGAGTATGCTGAACTAAATCTTGAATTCATGTAATAAAAGTAAAAAGAATGCATCATCATATGAAAGAAATTAAGGATGGTAACAGGAAGGGTAAGTCATTCCCTCCCCCATCCTGTTAGATATGTTTATTATCCTGCATCATCCTCATCCTCATCCTCATACTCATACCCGATTAACACAGGACAGGACATGACGAATTCGGGAAAGGATCAGGGTGGGGTGGCCATTTTTCGCCTCATTTATTTTTTTCTTTTTATTTTTTAATATCTTTAGTCAGTAAATATTATTATTTTTTTATCAATTTGTTTTAAACAACTTATGTTCTCTTTAAAGATATGATAAATTTATTTTTTTGTTTAATGAAAAACGTAAATTTAAAATTAACTTTAAATGGGACGGGTAGCCGGTAGCAAGATGAGGACAATGTTTTCTATACTCGCCCCATACCTGTTTCGAGGCAATGACCATCGTCTCATCCTCGCCCTGTTTACCAGATTAGGCAAGTAATCCCTGCCCCATTCGGGGCAGGACCTCACAAATATCAGGTTAAATGAATTTTTTTGTCATCCTTAAAAGAAATCATTATTTCGTGTCAACCTTTGACTTGTACAAAGGAAAAGGCAAATTTAGCCCCCATTATACTTCATTTAATTATAATTTGTTTTTCTCTCTTTTCTTATCGATTACATTTTTCAATAAAATAATATTAAATGACACTTTTTTGTTTGTAACCACACATTCTTCTAAAAATTATCATGTCTCATATTATAATGTGGAAACTGGTACAGAGCAAAGAAAATACAGTATACTAAATTTCTAAAACTCCAAACTAGTCATCAAAAATCCAGGGAGATTGGCAAATTTAATTTAAGATGGAGCAATACTTGATTTCTTTTTCTTCTTTTTGTGTCTTGATAAGCCAAATACACAGTAACATAGCAGCCATTATTACTATAACATACAAGCTCCTTAAACTGCCTTAATATAGCATATTTAAAGATGTTCGTAGTCTGATTCAGACATTGACGTGAGGATCACTATGAAAGTACACAAATTTGCACTCAATTGGATAAGTGCACAAATATAGAATGTGTATCTTGGAGAAAACTTTTAAGACGATCCAACAAACATGAATAATTTTACACACTCTTTAGTTGTTTTTTATGTGGCATAGATTTGGAAAGTTGACCAAATGTTTCATCAACTCAATTAGGGGTTGGTAACAGGTCTGGATGTATGTGTACCATTCGAATTCTTGATAATTCCCAATACGGACTACCCATTTCAATTGTTGTGCTTCCTGAAATAGCACACCTGATATGTGAGAAGCTGATTATAAATGATAATTCTGGACCTCCTTTTCTCCAAAAAATAAGCGCCGGTTGTCCCTCTTCCGATGGTGTGGTGGTTCTTTAGGTATTTTCGTCTTCTTCTCCTCGAGTCAAATAGATAAAACACATTATAAAGATAGATTGGCCTCCACCTCCTGATCCGGCCTCTTGTCTTCTTCTTTTGGCTGGTTTTCTCATCACACCACCTTTCCCTCAATTATTTTGGCAATGGTTACTCAGTAGAATTTTTCAGTTTATTGGATATTTCGATAGAGTTCACTATAAGGGCCCCATGAGCGAAGATCCATGTTGACCAAGCCAGGCCATCAGAATAAGAAAGGCCTTTTGAACAACATCAACATGAAACTTGTAAAATATGCTGCCTTTCTTACAGCATGGACCAAAATTCGGGGCCTCTGAACATAAAAGAATGTCTCCCTTCTTACTGGCTATGCCCTCATTTATTATAAAAATGTCTTCAAGAAGTCCAAGTTCCACCTGATTATTGGGGCTTTTATTTTTGGGTTGAGGTAGACTTTCGGAATCCTCCAAACAGAAGGGTGGTGGATGAAGGGAAAACCTGGCTGTAGCAATACACTTAGCAGAGGCCACTTTCAACACAGAGTGTGGCTAATAATATCCGAGCAGTATATGAATTTTCGGTCAATCTCCTTCCACCAATTGCAAAAAAAAAAATTGGTACATCTTCGATGAACCTGCATCATAATACTTCTTCCTTGGGGGGTACTGCCTAATGCTTCTTTGCATTCCATTCAACCATATCCTTTCAGGTACTAAATGGCGGGACGTATTGATATAAAAGTTGACAGGAACCAGAACATGGATTTAGGGAACAGAGCTCTTTTCTTTGTCTTCTATTTCCCCCGTCCACTTCTTCAAATGGTCATTTTTTCACAAGGAATGAATAACCATACTCACAAAAACCAATCTCGTCCAATAACACTACAAACAATGGCTGCAATACTGTTATAGCCAGCACTGATTCTTTCATGATGTAAAGTCCCTCCGTCAATAGAGCAATGCCATTAATGGACAAATATTTCATGCATATCAATTAACTGCGAACCCTTTTGTCCATAATGTCATATTGCCGCAATGTAAGTGTTCGCTTCAAACTGAGTTAGAAACAAGCAAAAAGACAAGACTCCAACTCATTGAACTTAGTAGAATCACACCGCGCCAACACTTCAAAAATGTGGAATCAAGTCCAGACTTATAACTCTACAAAACTGCAACCAGGTATCTTTCGAACTCCCCTCTCGCTCATTTTGTCCCTTAAATGTGATACCTCCAACCATCGATTTGCTTCTGCATATATGTTGGACAAAAGGACATAACTACCACCACTGTGAGGCTCAAGCTCAAAAAGTCGATGTGCTACTTCCTCAGCTAAGTCAGTGTCACAATGTAGCTGACAAGCCCCAAGAAGAGCACCCCAAGCACCAGCATGAGGCTCCACGGGCATCGACTTCATGAGCTCATAAGCGGCCTTCAGCTTTCCTGACTTACCTAGAAGGTCAACCATACATGCATAATGATCGGGAGATGGACTCAGAGAGTATTCATTAATCATTATGTCAAAATAACGAGATCCGTCATCAACAAGGCCTGCACGTGTACATGCTGATAAGATTACTGTGAATGCCACACCATCAGGCCTTAGCCCTTCATCTATCATCCTATCAAACAGTGCAACCGCTTGAACACCATTCCCATGAATAGAAAACCCCTGTATCATGGAACAAAACGAAATCAAATCACGTTTAGGCATTTTCTCAAACAAAAAATTCGCTCTCTCCATATTCCCACACTTAGCATTCATATCCACAAGAGCCGCAGCAACATGAGCGCGTCCAAGATCGAACGAGTTGTTACTTACGTAAGAATCAACCCATTTTGCAAGCATTAGACACCCCAATTGGGAACAAGCAGACATCAAGCTCACCATTATAAATTCATCTGGCCTAACATTCGTAGCCCACAGTTCGCCAAAAACTTTCACGGCCTCATTGGACTTCCCATTCTGCACATACCCTGATATCAATGCAGACCACGAGAACAAATCTTTTTCTGATAACTCATCAAACAACAACCTTGCAGCAGCCATGTCACCAGCCTTGGCATACCCATCAATCATTGTTGTAAAAGAGACCTTATTTCTCTCAGGCATCTTATCAAACAAAGTCCTAGCACTCTTTAATTCACCCAACCTCACCAACCCCTTAATCATGGCATTCCACGTAACCAAGCTCTTCACAGGCATTTCATCAAATAGATATTTCGCCTTGAACAAATCTCCAGAATTTAAATATCCAACCATCATAGCCGTCCAAGAGACCTCATTTGTCACGCTCATTCCATCAAACACCTTGCGTGCAGAGTTAATCTCCTCACACTTACCATACAAATCAATCAAACTGGAGCCCACAAACACATCACCCTCCGTCCCATACCTCACACTCAACCCATGAATAATCCTCCCTTCCCTCAAAGCGTTTGCATTAGAGCAAGCTTTAATCAAAGAGGGAAAAGTATACTTATCAGGACCCACAGTTGACTCCCTTTTCATTCTCTTAAAAACCAAGAAACACTCATTAATCTCAGAATCCTCACATTGTGCTTTAATCAGATTATTCCAAAGATAAATATTGGGGCTAATAACGCGGTTAAAAATGCTGGTGATGTACTTAAGGTTGGTGGGCGGAAATTGATTGCAAAGAGATACGAATTGTGTAATCAAGAAATGGTCTTGCTCTAAGCCTGTGTAGATGATACGGGCATGCACTATGTTTAGTTCTTTAATGGTTTTGCAATCTCTTAACAGGGATGGTATTGGTAATTGGAATGGTGATGGTGATGAGCGTCCGAGTGCAGAGACGAAGCTCATCGGCGACTATAATAGAGAGCATTTGGAGCTGTTTCCGTCCTAGATTGTTGGGTGAGAAATTATGACAAAAGAAGAGTTAAAAGGACCAGTTCCAATAGCCATTTTATAGTGTCGGAAAAAATTGCATGTCCCAATGATAGTAATGATTCATTTTACTTCTTGGTTGTACTGAAAATGAAATAACAAAAGTAATTTTACATCTCAGGGATGCATCTCAAAATTTTGATGAACTTTTACCTTGATTTCTAGTTACGTGATAAATTAGACATAAATGTATTACAACTCATTATTGCTATTCGATTAAAGATATTATTAACTTTAACTCGATAAAACATATAATTCTCGTGGGTTCAACACTTACTTCGTCATTATATTATTTGATCACGATCCCGTCCACTCGCGAATTTTCAAAGGGTCAATTCTGCCGAGGCGCCCCTCCAATGGAGAGGCGCCACTTGGCCCTTATGTGAAGCATTAATTCTGAAATGGTATATTTGAAAATGAATTTTTAAATGATAATTTATTGATTGGGAAGTCAAAAAAAAAACCATATCTCTGGGACCCACTTGTACTTTACCAACAGTAAAGAAATTGATGTTAAATTGCTCCCAGACATGGGCTCAATCCTTCCATCACTACATTAGTGAGAAACATAATGATCAATGAGATAATATTATAATAAATGTAATGACAACTGAGAAATATTTCGAAAAGTTCAGTGTAATTTAAAAAAAAAAACATTTTGAAGTATCGCCATCCATCCATCTCCACAAAAAATAAACAAAATAAAATCAGTGGGCTGCTCTTTCGCATATTTGCTAGTTAGATGTCAATCACGTGATTTTCAACTGATATATCAGCATGGAACCAAAAGAAAAAGGGAAATTGGATCCATTATTACCAAGGACATATACACGCTGTAAAGAATAAATGCTCAGTTACTTGTGCAAATGTCTAAAATAGTGACAAAAGAATTTCAATCCAATTTGCTGCACCTCAAAAGAGTATCTGTTAGAGCTGTAATGCCTTCAAAAGTGCTGGCTCGAGTCATATATTTGCATTACTCGGCCTCGTGTCCCCTCCTATGTACGTGTCAAGTCAGAATAATTTCAGTGGAAAGTATATCGATGCTGTTACAAAGAATCAAGCCACAGGTTTCTTCCAAGAGAAGCACAGAAAGGCCAACCGGTTCGACTGCCGTATTAGAAGTCGAGAGAAAGGTTCATCAAGAAATTCAAAATCCTCCGGACAAGCTCTTCAGATTCCTATCCTCCAAGGGTTTTCTGTTTATACCCGTACTTCTGCCTTTCAAATAGTTTCTCTTTTGTTTTCCTCTTCTTGTCCATCTTTAGCCTGTATCTTTCTTCCCTCTCCCTCTCGTATATTCCCTGCCAGTAAACTTCCCCCGTCAATGGCCATAACCACGTTTCATATGGATGGTCGTTATCATCTGCAGCCTCTGCAAGGTCTTCATCCATACTTTTCAATAACGTAATATTGAAGTACTTCGCCCACATAAATCCTTTTCGCTGTTCAATTGGGTGTTGCTCTTCCAACAAACCTGACTGAGGATCAATATAAACCATCTTCCGTGCACTATGATAAGCCCAAACGTTGACTAGGAGTTCCAGAAGCCGACAGTAACAATGCTGCTTCTGGTTGACAATAAACAATCAAACATGAGAATCTTCTTTTCATTAGAAGAAAATTGTGATAGCTTGAGAAAATTGCACCATTAACAAGTTGGCTCCCACCCCCAATCTTTAAAAAGAGTAAGTTGATCCTCAACCTTTCATTATAGTCGCAGCATAAGTCGCCAATGACGGAAACTATCCAAGTCTCCGTTAAATTGTGATTCTATGAAACTAGGGTTTGTTTCATAATATAGCTTAGTACACAGAAATTTGAATCTAGTCAGGTTTCCGAGAAAATTAGTCATGTTTCCAAGAGGGTCATGTGACCGTTTGACCATGATTTGGATGGTTTCTTAGCTGCGGACTGATTGTGCAACTATAATCAAATGTCAAGGACCAACTTACTCCGTGAGCAATAGGTTAGGGACCAATAGTGCATCATTGCCCAACTCTTTTTGGCGCAAGAGTTTACCTCGATTGATGTAAACCCCAGCAAACAATCAGATGTTGTACTCGAATTCACGTGCAAACAATTGAGAGAATCAACAAACATCCTGATATCGAAATTTGCCAAAAGCTCATAATTAGATTGATCACCTTGAATGTAAAATGTTGTGTTAGGATATTAATTAAGTCATTATAAGTAATGAATAAAAAATTCTCTTTGCTACCTTGAAAACATAACAAACTCCAGAAAGGAAGGAGTTGGCATCACCCAGCTGTGTAGAGCTGACCAATGTCCGCCATCTTCAGGCATGGGTGGAAGAGCTTCTATATTTGACGGCAAAGCATACATTAAGCGGAATGCATTTTCAAAGGCAGTTCTACACAAATTTGAAACCAAGATAAGCAAAAATGGAGTCGAATCATATACCAATCACGAATTAGTAATTTCTAACCCTAGAAGATAAAGAGTAGTAAATATTTTATCTAAAGAGTAAGCCATCTTCAGGCATGGGTGGAAGAGCTTCTATATTTGATGGCGAAGCATACATTAAGCGGAATGCATTTTCAAAGGTAGTTCTACACAAATTTGAAACCAAGATAAGGAAAAATGGAGTCAACTCATATATCAATCACGAATTAGTAATTTCTAACCCTAGAAGATAAAGAGTAGTAAATATTATATCTAAAGAGTCAAGGAATGCTCAGAAAATTGCCAATAAAAACCCAAAATTCCAAGGATTTTGAAATTAGTGTATTTGTAATATCTAGCCCCTATTTGAGTCACATTATTTTTCTCATTCTCATTCTTCTACCCATTTTCAACCACACATTCTTCAATAAAATAATATTTTCCACCACATCAATAACTTTTCTTTCTTTTTCAATCACATATTCCCCATCACATCACCAGTAAAAATGCATTCTTACTCCCAAAATATGCACCAAACAGGGGTTAGATTTTGTTTAATTTAACCAACCAGAACTCTCCAACAGGGAAGGCAATAGAAATATATCACCTGATGGTCAGTTTATCTTTCCTCATAGACATTCAATTGGACTTTTATACTTTAACAGAGACTACTTGCAGCTGGTGTCCACAGATATAACATATTGCTTGAAGAAAATCTTAATGATCACTAGATTGATTGCAAGAACAAGATTTCTCTCACACTTACCGGCACTTCCCGCCATTCATAATATCACACATGGACCAAAAAGTAAGCAGATCATTGCTTTCGACATGGCCGCCATCCATGTCTGTGCGAGCCCAAAAGTATACTACATCCCCTACAGTTTTTTCTTGCATTGCTTGTTCTAAAACCTGTTCTGCTTTTTTAGATAAAGATACCTGAAATTTTTAAGATTCAGCAGTTGCAGCTAATTTGCAAACGGCAACATCATTCTTAGAATATTATATTCTAAAGAATAGTTAGACTAGATGCAAAACCATCATAGTTATGCTGAGAATGTGACAAAATGAAGCACGTACCTTCCTCCCAGCAGCACGCCATGACTGAAATCCTATCCAGGGACGCTTGTGAATGTTATCAACCCCATTAGCAAGTGCAAACATTCCTCCAGTCTCACAGAGGATATCACGATAATATGTATCATTCAGGATAGGCAGCCGACCAACTGCATCCACATCATCTGACCTCATTCTCCGAGATCTAGTCAACTGATAAAATAGACAACAACAAATAAAGGAAGAAGACTTAATGACAAGAAAACACAAAATGCAAAAGAAAGGATAATTAAAAAAGTAAATTCGACTCTGCATAGTCGACTAGCAGTAAGTTACAATACCAAATAAGGGATTATTCATTCCATGAAGCATATATGATTTGAAAATAGAGGAAAAAGTTGCAATATAAGAAACTCGTGACACATAATGATCTGGTTCAAGGTAACTTACGAGACTTAGCCCACGGTATAAAGAACCATGGTGTAGAAATGGCCAACCCCCAGCTCCATTGTAAATCTCATAAATACATACTGGCTGCCCCGTTCTTTCTAGCTCACCTTCATCCCTCTCATTCATTTCAAATTTAAGCTTTTCCGCTTTACGAGCAGTACGATATATCTCATCCCACACACCAATGTCTTTCTCCATTCTTTCCTCAATCTACAAGAGATCATGCAGGATTTAGAATCTGAAAGATTGGGAGTGTAGAGTAAAAAACAGGGGGTCCAAAACATTGCATACATGTCAGAATATGGCCATACCTCCTGCGTTTCTAGCCTCTCCACTTCCTCAGAGCTTTCTATTTCCCTCAAAATATCCCAATCTAAAACAGTAGGGATATCCTCTTCCAAATCTTCGATGTCATTCCCAGAGATGTTCTTTATTGGAACCAGGTTGCTCATTTCTTCCTCAAGGTCATCAACAATACTGGAAATTACCCCAGAAGATAGATATTCAGTATTACTAGATTTCTGCTCTATTTCATTCTTAAAAAGACTCCATTCCCATGAAGCCTGCTTAAGCTCTGAAATATGAACTGGCAGAAGAACATCAGATGGAAAATTAAAGGCATTCTCCAGTAGCCTTGCATAACCAGTAATGCACTCTGCTGCCAACATGTTCTTGACAAGTGACTTTCCAGATAAAGCAATAGACTGTGCATCATCAGATAATTTTCCCTTGTATATCAGAGTAGAGAAGGCATTCAACAATGCCCTGGCATCATGTTTTTGAAAAATTATCCCATGAACACCATCAACAACCTAAGGATTCAGAAAAGTATTTAGAGAAGTAAAGAAACAGAGCATGAAGCTTCATACTTGAGCTAAAAAGACCAATGGCAAGGGAAAGATGAATAAACTTACGTATTTCTTTATTACAGGATAATCAGGTGCAACAACAGGAACCCCAAAAGACATGGCTCTTGTCAGCAATGGAGGAAACCCTTGCTCATCTTGGGAGGAACCATAGAGGATGATGTCAGCCATCAGAATCAGACCATTGACATCATTATCAATGCCGTAATGTCTCAGAGACCCATGAGGAAGTCCCAAACGAGTAGCAAGATCCTATAGACTTAAAATCAGCAGTCAATACACTATCAAGGTATGACTAACAGAGCTGCTGAACTAAATTTTGAATTTACCAAGTAAAAAGTTGACGTCATGATTTAAAAGCATTCACAATTTTTCTCAACTGTCTGATTTGTAAAAGAAAACGGCTAATTAGGAAACAGAGGAAAGAAAAATCAACATTTCAAATGAAGAAACCAGAAACGTCTATGGCCATCAGCCTAAAATACTGCCCCTTAAAAAATGAGGATAATCCTCTAAGCAAAACAGTTCCCAATTCTCATGGAAAGATGCAGGTAGTACTTTCATATTTTTCCTAAGCCATAAAACAATGCATGAGAAAATAAATAACCAGAAAATTATTCAGGAATTGTATACCTGTAAAGCATCATTATAGCCACTGCTGGAATTTCCACAAAGGAAGACAAATTTAAATGTCTCTCCAACATCTTTTAACCCCGCATATTCGATGAGCAGAGGTTCTATATCATGCATTGACACTGAATAATCCAAAACTAACTCATTGTAGAAGAAAGAACTTCCAATAACCAGAACTAGCATGACATCTTTATCAAAACCATTTTCCTCCCGCAGCTGAAATTTATAGTGGGACGCACTGTAGCTTTCTGCAGTATAAACATCTACTGGCGATCCAGGAATCACATAGAAGTTTCCAGTGTCAAGCGCGCTATATAGCATCTGATGCAGCAAGGGAATAATAAATAAGAATTAAGAGTTTTCAAGACAACACCAGCAACAACGCATAACAAATTTATAACAGAACATAAAGGACAAGCAGAGCTATAAATCATACAAGACGACCGACAAGGAACAAGAGATTTACCGGCAAAGAAAAATCTGGAAACACAACAACATCAGCCCTATGAAAAGCATTTGTCCAATTAGAAATAAGAAAGTCCCAGCCCCTGCTTTTATACAATGGAAGGCGATTTGCAAGTGTATCTTCTTGAATGATCCATATGAGCGGCACAGAGCAAAATGGCTCCTGCATAAGGCTGCATAGATATAAAAACTCAAAAATCATAGCATCACAAACTACGAGCTATGAGAGAAGGACAGAGATCTCTAAACAAACACTATATCAACACATATTTCGATTGTATCCATTCATCTGATGTTAATAATTTTGTTTGCCCGATATTTTATACCAATGACAAGAATTATATAGTTCAATTTTCAGAACACAAAGCAAGACCTTTTAAACCAGTTGCACAAATGCAAAAACCCTGCTGTTCAGATTTTTCTCAGATATTATCAAACTGAAAGTATTCCTGGGAAAACGCAAGCCATGAAGAATTCAAATAGAAGGAACACTTCACGGTGGAAGAAGGAAAGAAAACATAAGCATGAATGGAAATGTCGATTGAGGCAGAAAGAGCTGAGATGGTGGAAAATTAGTTGAGGTATATATCATTTGCGTTCTGTGTAGAGAAAGTGAGCAGCCTTTCTAACATATATAGCTCAAGATTATGATCATACGATAAACATGGTTTACTGTACAAGTATCATAATTTATCTTAACAAAGACTTAATATCCTGCCAAAGTCTAAATTCCTTGAGGATAAGTCTGATAGACTTGGACTGTACCAACATGATTCAAATTGCTCCTCAATTAGTATCAAAGATTTGATTTTACATGGCCTTAAAGGTGAAGTGATATGTTATATTTAAGTAGATTTTCAGTCCCTTTTAAATGAAACAGAGACGCAATGTCATGGCTAGCTTGTCAGAAGAGATTACCAATAGCGAAAGAAATTACGAAACGGAGCGTAAATGCAATCATGCAAATAGTGCCCTACATCAGGCAAAGGAGGAGACTCTTAATACTATCATTGTCATGGGTCCCTTTACAGATTCTGTGTAGTAGGTGCAATGTCATTCAGACATATATATATATATATATAGGAAGTATAGTGTGATCACGAAATCATGTAATCCAGCAGCACTTGGAAGAGAAAAACTGGGATGCCTGATTCAGAGTCTTCTGCCATATGTTGCATGACAGCATGAGAGGAATAAAGAAGGTATAATCAGAGTGGAAATCTGTTACAGATGTCACGCAGTATGAAGCACAAAGCAGCCATCAGCTGAAGCTCGGCATTGCATTGAACTTAATCCAATATCTATCTGCTGGTACGGAGTCATTTGATTGATGGATAATTTTCCTGTCTGGTGTGGTTGATTGATTGTAACAGATAGTAATCTTGTTTAACTGTTTAGAAGAAATGTGCTCTATGTTCTTTCAATTATTTAGAGGTGTTAAGGAAGTAAACTAGAGAGGAATCACGTATATTAGTCAATGAGATTGAGTTTCCATATTGTACTGAGTTTCCATAAATTGCAATCTTAACTTTAGTCTATATAATGAAATTAGAAGAGAGGAAGATAATTAACTTCTTCTCTCAGTTAATACCAAACCTGTTTCTCAATAATAGGAAAGTGTTTGACTTACTCAGGTTATTTTTTATCATAAAATCACACCTGATTGATGGGATCTTTCTCACGACTGTGTGCATTCTTGATAGCAAGTTTACAACTGATTGCACATTTTCTTGTTATATTAGTCTTTTGGCAGTGACATCTTTGTTCATTGTAAATATTTAGAAATGAATGCATCTCAGAGGAGGGGGTACCTTTCATCTTTGAATGAAGTAATTAGACAAGAGGAAAAATAATAAGAAATAAATAGACAAGAGGAAAAATAATAAGAAATAAAAACTAAGTTCGTTAAAAAACTTGATTGTTAATAGACAAGTAAAAAATATCTAGTCTATGTCTCTATGATGATGTTCAAAGACAAAGTATTAGCTTTGGGTTTTTAGCCTATAACAATATGTCATTGTTTGACAACCATTAAAACAAAACTCTTTTTTCTCAAAATTCAACCACATGTTCTTACAATAAAATATTTTGCACGTGAACCCAAAACTTTTTTTCTACTTTTTAACACACATTCTCCAAAAAAATCACGATTCAAAAACTCATTTTCCCCCCAAAATACTCTTTTTATTGATTGTTAGACATAGGCTATATATCTTAAACGCTCAAAAGATGCAAGATAACCAAGGAAGCTCAACACATAAAAACGTTCCTTGACGAGTATCATTAATATGCTTGGGCAGTTTACGGGCTGCTTGGGAGTTTTTTTTCCCCGATTCTGACCGGTTTTCAGAGGCACCGTTCATGGAAGGTTGGAAAAGTCAATGCTTGCTAAATTTTTTGGGCACTGATTTTGGCTAATTTAAAAATCACCAAAAACTGGTGTGTAATTTTGACCGATTATCTCACCCCACCAAATTGGTGAATTTTGGTCGTTTCTTATATTCTATTCTAATTTTACCCTATATGAAATAATTAATTCCAACTAACATATTTTGTTCGAAACTAACTTCTTACAAAAATTCATCAACTAAAAAAATTATTTATAAGCAAAATAATTACTTTATAATTAAAAAAAATTACTTATAGGATAAAAATTCACTTTTGTGTAAAAATATGTTTATAAAGGAAAAATACTACTAATAAGTAAAAAATTTACTTATAAGTAAAAAATACTGACTTAAAATTTTAATTATAAGTAGATATTTACTTTTAAGTTAATTCTTTTAAAAACTTTCAGAACCTATGGTAAATAAACTTCCAAGTGTATAGATTGGACTATCTTAAAAATCGCTACTAAAATCACCCGAAACCGGTCCGCTCATAAATGCTCAAAATCAGGTACTTCAAAAACGCCCAAAATTGGTGCCGCAAAACTTTCAAGCAGGCCCTAAAGCATTTTCTTAGAAACTTATCAGAATCTGAAACTGATTTCTTGTGTTGAGCAAGAGTCTACCTTGAGATGGCATCCTTTACTTCTAGAGAGTCTGCAATAATACCTTCAAAACTGCAAGCATAAAAAGGCATCATTCGTCTATGCCAACTAAAGAAGACTAATTTACATCATACAGCCAAATATTAACTGAACATGAATCTTTCCAGGGTAACGACAAGACATAAAAGAGCAAACGTACATTGACCAATCAATATAACCATATCTTTCAGGGCTTAAAATTGAGACTTGGCCTCCAATTTCCTCCCATATTGGCCTTGCATTGCCATCCTCTATTGCATATATCTGTTAAAGAAGCAATGAACAGATTAAAAGCTGTTGAACATCCGCATTTACCGGACATTACATGGTACACACGATGTCACCTTTTCACAAGCATTTATAGTTCAAGGGAAAAAAAAAAGTCAACCACAACCTTAGGTACAAAATGTCCCTAATTTGGATAAAGATTTATATCATATCCTATGTGACAGTAACAAAAAAGCTATGCAAGCACGTGCATCAAAATCCTACTTGAAACAGGCTAACTTTGAGCAGTATTAAAAGCACGTTTAAATACTTTTACAGCATCAATTGACACAATTTACTCTTAGATAATGATAGTAAGATAAGCCAGGATAAACAAGTTGTTTATCATGACTATTTTAAAACAACCTCTGTAGAAAGACTTGAAAAACAATTTCCACCAGCATTGAAGCAAAAGACCGAATCCTCTTAGTTTTAAGCAAATGAGCTATGATATATATGTGTGATTAGTACCAAAAAATTGATAGCCTTCTTTTCAACAAGCATATCAGCCTTATTAACATACTTGCAGAAAATCTTATCTAATAATGTAGAATAATTAGAACCAACAAACAAGTGTTTCAACGTCAATTCTCAACGTATAAGCTGGCTCTGACATTTCGATACATAATGTATCTATTTATTAATAGTTTAACATAGTAAATGATATGTAGACTTTCAAGATACTACACTATCATCGTATTTATATGCTAAAACAATGCATATCATTATTGAACAAACCAAAATCAATTTTATATACATTTAGGTCCTACAAAGCATTTCCAGTTTTCCATTCTTATGTTTTGAATATGGGATATTCTCTCAACTTAAAAAGATAATGAAAGCAATAACCAAGATAATTACTTCTGTGTTTAGAACAGCAGCAAGAGAACTAAAATGTTACACAGCATTGACCCTGCCACGTTAATTGTCAGTAAGGCAATACAATGTCAAATGCTGTAGGATTGTGGCTGAAGCTTTTATAATGCCTGATCCCATTGATACACCAAATGAAGGAACATTTTCACATTGCAATAGAGAGAAAATCTAGTGCTAGTCAAAACAATGTTAACCACCTTATTTAAAAGCTTAAATAGTAAGAGAGCGGCGCCGTCTGTTTATTTCAATTTTGTTTTCAGTACATGCCTTCACCTACATATTGGAGTCATCTTTAAATTAAAAGACTAAAACATGTACACAAGACTTGTCAGGTCTTTTGCCTATATCTAATACCATTAATCATCTCATCTAAGATCTAAGAACTTAAAATATAGAGAGGGGCTACATGTATTCATATAAATCTTGACATCCTGTTTTGAAAAGGGAAAAAACGACAAAGAGCAGCTCAACAGTAAGAAAATTTCTCCATTTGAATGTCCAGCAAAAGTTTATCAATCTTGATTAACAAGAAACAATTGGGGGGTCACGGAGTAGTTTAAATTTCAACATCTTAAAAACTACTGGATCTATTTAGGACACTAATGCCAATATAATGATAAAATCTCATGAAATGGCAGGAAATACCAGAAAAATGAAATGTTGCCCACAAACTTCAAGAACAAGAGAAGTGAATAAAAGAAACACTATCTCAGAAAATAACTTATCTAACTTCAAATTACAAGAATAAAGCAAATTGCTTCTCACATGAATTTACAAGATAAATAAAGCGTGATATAGTTTGAAATACTGAAAGTTTCAAAGTTGCGCAACAAACTGATATAGAAACTTGAATGTGCTTGGTATTCTGATTCTAGCAAATCAATGCATTCTTTAAATTGATTGAGCCAACCATTAATGCTATGCACAACACATTCACTAATTTACCTTAAGCAGATAACCAATGCCCTTCAAATTCTTCATCAATGTATACATCATCAATGTTGATGGATCTTTCTTCATGTTTCCTAAGATCTTGCATTCACCAAAACAAAGAATATTAATTAATTCCGTACTTCAGTGAACCATACAAATGCACATCTATTTGATTGAAAGAGATTTTATTGGAGAATGAAAAGGAAAGACGGCTATTCTGTACTTGAACACAGAACAGTTATGCCAGTGAGTTGTAATCAACAGGTGCATGTAGGTTGATGTAATTTAAACATGTCTGCAAGAGATGCTACACGAACACCACTACATATTTAACAGTTAGGCAACTCAGTGTACATGTCCTAACAGAAAATATTAATAGCACAACCTTTGCAGACAAAATTAGACTTTTCAACATATGGAGGTAGCATTAGTGGAAGGGAGAAAAGAACGCTACTCGCACTTATATCCATCCTTTCCATTGTACTTCTAGAAGCCATAAGTGCTACAGAGAGGGACTGCAGAGACAAACAGTAATCTTTTACCCCTAGAATATATATATTTAGAGAGATTGAAGGTGTGGGGGTCTAGTTATTTGTTATTTCTTAACGCCTCTATCTATTGAGCAATAAATCTTATGATGCGTCAACATGGACACGTGTGTCCGACACATATTTTGTTGTTTCTTAACGTTTCTGACTACAGACTAATAAATTATAGAACATTCAACTTGATGAATGAACACAGTATAAAATGTGAACCAATACCCAACTGAAAAATATGAGTCCAAAATTAATTCAAAGAACGCCAATGATAGATTGATATAAATGATTTTCTCCCCCATTAAATAGAAACTTTATTGTACCATTCCTAATTGCACCAACATGCACAGAATACCATGCCTCTCTTATTCCCGTCGAACTCCAACTCATACAACCAACAGCAATCACAAACATAAATGTAGCATTATGTACTCAATCTGGATATTAAAAGGCACACTAATTGAACAAAGAACAGCTGGACAAGGTATGAGATACTAACTTGCAGTGGAGAAGCCACTTAAGGACCAGTGGGTGCTACTGCCCCACTGAACTTTGGAAAAACTACCGAGCAATTTTTTGGCAATTACCTTTAAATTGAATTTGATTTCGAGGTGGTTATTCAGAAATCTTAGAGGCAATAAATTTGACAACTAGAAAATTGAAGATCTCTGGGATTTCTCCACATCCAGATACCAAACAGGTCCTGAACCTGTTGTTATGGATATTATGTATTGATCATAGTTGATTCAAAAGTTTGGTCTAATGCTCAGCAACAAAGGTGAACAAGCATAATTAAAAAACTCAAAAAACGGTCCTCAAATGGCTAAATCCTCATTAGTTTCATCGCAAGAACGCTTCTCCAAAAACACTCTTTATTCAAGAAGGTTCAACACTGTGAACTACCGATCCATATAAAGAGGCTGTAACGAAATTTAAGAGGAAATCAGACGATTTTTCAAGACGGTTTACATGTTGATCTCTTGTAGGATGTTCGTGATTTGTTTAAAAATTCTCAATCCTGTAGTCTCAGGCTAAGCAGTGTTCATGTTCAGATCTATAAGGAATGGATAGCAGATTGTGGTTGGAATAGAAGCTGGTGCAGAAAAATCAAGAAAGGGTTGAACTCTCATTAATGATCTACACCCTTGATTTTTGAGTTCATTTATTGCGTTTAAATGTATACAGTATACTTGAACAGAATCTTTAAAATTCTATATTAAAGGATATGAATTTCCGAGCAAAATTATTTTATACAATTAAAAATGAGTTCGAGAAAAATGAATTTTAAAGAATCCCTTGCCAACCGGACTGGGCTAAGCTTAAAAGACAATAAAATCTAACTTTAGTATACCTCTACATAGATATAAGCACAGAAGTAAATATAGTCCATCACTTACAAGTCCAATCCTCGGATGCCGAATGCCAATCCTCAGCTGGTTGCGGAGCCAATGGAGCCGGCTTCCATTAAGATGAAACCTCGGCCGTGGAACGAACTCCAGCGAGCTACCCAATTTCAGGTCCTCCTTAACCGACCACCGCCAACGCATTGTCTCGCTAGTCACTCCCTGTCGCAACACCGACATCATCGAGCTCTGTAAAACCATCGTCGCTATCGCGAATAAAAAAATGACTAAAATAATGCATAACAACCGCGATTTCCTTTCAAAGAAGAACAATTCGAGCTTTCGAGCTAGGGGCCTATGGTGGTGAGATCGGGAGGGCTTGTGTGAATACGGCAACGTTTTGGATGTCAAGCGTGAAATGGAGGCGATGCTGTTGTTGTTAGATTCATTGTGATTATGATTAACCGGGTTCCGTTTAAAGGGAAATCGGTCGCGGATCGAATGGACAGCGGCGGAAAACGCGGAGGTGGTGTCATCGTCGTCGGAGTCCGTGGTGGTTACTGAGTTGCGAACCATTTGGAAATCGGGGAACGAGGTTAACTCGATCGAATTGGAAAATAGGTAATGTGTATGGAATCAGAAGTTCCACTCAGAGTTCATTGTGTGAGTTTCTGTGTGCGTGATTTAATCGATTTTTTCTAAGCGTTGGGTAATGTGAGAGTGATGGATGAGAGAGACGAGACTTTTTAGTGAGAGAAAATGTGAATAACGCGCTTTTATCACAGGGGAGGATGGGTGACCAAGTCCCTTATCTAGGATTGGATTTGTCTCGTTTTCCCTCACATATTGAAAATGTACAATTAAATAAGCCTATATTCGGAAAAACATCTTAGTACTTTGAGTTACATCCGTAGATTAAATGCACTGTTTGACAATCATTAATAGTGTCCCTGGTTGAGCCCGTTATTCGACAAAGAATATATTTTTTAGAATAATGTTACTTGTAGTCGCTCACTACATCAATCGTCTTATATGACACACACATGTTAAGTGTATATTTGATGCATTAAATGTGATAAAAAAAAAACTACCATATTAATGCATCAAATAACTACATGTCATGTGTGTGCCACATATGACAACTGCTGCAGTGAACGACTGCAAGTGGCATTACTATATTTTTTAACAGTGAATTGATAGAAAATATTTGTTTAAGAAATAAGAAAAAATTTTGAATTTACCTGTAATATTATTTTGTTGAAAAATATGTGATTGAAAGGAAAAAAGAAGAAATATATTTTGAAAATAATTGAAAGCAAATAAGCTTGGTGCGTTTGATTGCGGGAATGAAATTTGCATGAAAAGAAAAAATTTATAGACAATTGAATTATCTAAAAATTATTTGTATGAAAATTACTAATTAAATGTGTTTGATTGATTTAGTTTACGAATTTAAAAATATTATACTTGCTCATTTTTTATTGGTTGGTAGATGAGAGTGAGTGGATAGATGGGAGGGTAAAAGAGAAAGTGCATTACCTAAAAAAGAAAAACCAACCCTCCCTAAATAAAATATTTTCCTTGTTTTTGAGAGAAATGTGAGGAAAATGTGGTCATATGATCAAAAGTTGGAAAATATTTTTCATGAAGAAATTTGTCAATCAAACATCTCATAAGTAGGAATTTAAGTGAAAAAATAAAATTTTCCATGAAAAACAAGATCAATCAAACATGCACTAATTGAAAACTATTTTTTGTACATATTCACTTTTAAACACACATTTACACAATAAATATATTCTGCACGTAAACCCAAAACTTTTTTTCACTTTTTAATCACACTTTCTCTTAAAAATCATTATTAAAAAAAATCAATAGTAACCACCAAACAAGAGGCAAAAATATTTAGGCCCTGTTTGTTTCTGATTCTCAAATCAATTCTCATTTTCAACCACACATTCTTCAATAAAATAATATTTTTCATCACATCAATACTTTTTTCTTCTTTTTCAACCGCACATTTCCCATCATATCACTATTCAAAATCAATTCTTCCCCCAAAAATCCCTACCAAACAGGCTCTTAGTAAAGTTCAATAAATGTTGGTGAAAAGTTACGGATTGCATGAAGTGTGTAAGTAAAATTAATTATTGATTTTTAATAACCCGTATCAAATATGGAATTAAGTTAAATTTTAATTTCAATCGCACATTCAATCTCATGATTTTATTATTCTTCCTAAAATTTACTAATGATATTTCCTGAATAGAGGCTAAGCGAGGTTATTTATAACTTAGGAGAGAACAACACGTCCTAATATTTTGATAACGTTTTGGTTCGAAGGCATGCTTGATCAACATCAAACAAGTTCAACACGGCCTAGGTCAAACCTCGCACTTTCTATATAAGCTGACATGTTCTAACTTAACCCCCTGTTTGACAATCATTGAAAAGAGTCTTTTTGGGGAAAATGAATTTTGGAATAAAGATTTTTCAAAGAATAAGCAATTGAAAAGTAAGAAAATTATGGATCTGCATCAAAATGATTTATTGTGAAAATGTATGTTTGAAAATAAATTTGAGAAAAAATAGTTTCGTTCCAATGGTTGGCAAACATGGGCTTAATAAAAAAATGCAAAGCTTGTTGGACCTAATAAATGTAATTTTTACAAATGTCTTGACTGCTAACTAAGATATATTGTTAGTTTCATTGTTTTTTAGTCGACATTGGTTTTTGTTCGCTTTTATGATAATAGGACAAAATCATCGAGCTAGAGTTACATTGATAAAAATCGTCAAGAAAATGAGAACGAATTTGAATGCCCTGATCTATAAGGAGAAGACGTAGAAACGGAATGAAAAATACATTTTGAGACAGAATTCAATGTTCAGCAACAAGTTCTATAACTTTCGGTTGAAGTTGTTTCTTGGTAAAGTGTAAAATCTGCTCTCGTTGGTTGGGACGCTTCACAATTGCTCGAGTATTTTCACAAGTGTTATAGCTTTATCACGAGCAAAAGGGGACTTTAAAGTAAATGGAAAAAAGATCATACTTTGAAGGTGATTTTTCGAAAGAAAAATAGTATGTTTTTCTTATCATTTTAGAGTGATCATGTTGCAAAAAGTCGAGCTAATGTCTTTAAACAAACGCTTAATTACAGACAACTCATTCTCTATTCTTTTACTTGCTTTAATTTGACATTCTCCATTTACATTTAGTTTTTAGAATTGAATTAGAGCATAGTTAATTATAGAGCACTTTAAAATTGTATCAGGCTAGGCTAAAAATTATCATCATCCATATCTGTTGAGCCAAGAATCAAGTTAATGTTATGTAAAAGATACATATATTATGTGTGTTCAGTGGTTTCAACTATTGACTTAAATTGTTGCTAAGAATTGACATAACTTATGGCACCTCATTTGCATTGTGGAGAGTTTTGCTTCTTATCGAGCTCATGTTCAGTGTCCATTATTTGGGGAAAAAAGATAGTATTTTTAGGTGAATATGTAATTAAAAAATAAGGGATTTTTTTTTTAATTTACGTGCAAAATAGTTTATCGTGTGGATGTGTGATTGAAAATGATCGTATAACAAACAGTGTTTTAAAACAATAAGCACCAAACGTTCGATGAAATGCCTCAATAGAGAAAATTGTTCCAACCAATTCAGGTCTTGCTATAGCCTACAAGTTTTAGGTGAATAAAAGTGTAATCAAGATCTTCATGAGCCAAAAGCGCCTCGAATTACTATCTTTCTTTGATTTCTACAATTTGTCGATGCTTTTCTCTCAACTCTTGTAATGGATTTATATTTTTCATTATAAGCTAGATTTTATCTTGTCGGGATAAATGATGTAATTTGATTTTTATTTGATTAGCTTTAATATTTACAAATTAATTCAAATCTTGTCCAGTGAATTGTGTGATCTTCGAGGGGTTATCATTTGATTTAGACCCGACAGTAATCACCTTAAATTTAACTAGCAGAAAGAACTATACCTCTAAATCTAAATTACCCATTTGATAATTCTTGCTAATGTAATGCAATTGGAGGATTTATTTATTTACATAAAAATATAGTAGACCAATTAAACCAATTAGGGTTAATTTCACGAGAGACTTAACAAAATATATCCCGTTATATAAAAATCTATCAATAGAGATCGAGTGTCAACAAAATCCCTACATGACACGCGTCACGTTAACAGCAAAAGGTCACCTATCCTACTATACCGATTGATAAAGATGAGTGTCACCTAACATAGTAAGATGAGACAGTCCAATACCATTTGACAACCGTTATGAGGAGAAAGGTTACCAAGGGAGCTAAGGTGAAAACCGTTCCTCATCAGATAGAAACTTCTGATAAATGTCATGATGGACCACTAATCTAATAGTAGCAAATGGGCTAAAGAGAGCCGCCCAAGAGATGGATATGCTCATTCTTGTTCCTTGATCTTAAAAATACTCTTCGTAACTTTTCAACCAATATAAATAAATTTATCATAGCTAAAACTCTATGATTTTGTCTGCTCGCACCCAACTTATAGGTTTTGAATTTCACATCGCAGTGCAAACGATAATTACATTTTCGATCCAATGATCTAACATTTTAAGAGCTTTATTTATAAGAGACTCTCTAAACACAAACTACTATCTATTTCAAAGAGTTAGCTCTTAAAATAAGTTACAAGAGATTATCTATTTTAATTTTTAAAATAAATAATGAGTTCGATTTCCCAAATTTGGAGAGTCAAACTCACTCTATATTCTTAATTAACAATGATTTCATTTAATAAGTTACAAATTTCAATACCCCACAATTTGCATTATTCAAATCACATTTGAATTCGATTATGCATTAATGTATAAAAAAATTTACGTCAAATGAGAGATGAAGGAAAATCAAAAAATGTTTATTGAAAAAACAAAATAAATAATCCAAATATTTTTTATAAATAAAGAGTGTCTTGTAATTGATCTAAAACGAAATAAGACATGGTGAAGTGGCGTAGCTAAATGGGAAATTATAAAAACTCAGGTGCTTAAAATTTGGAATTCAAAAATCAGGGACTAAGTTTTA